TGAGTCAGCGTTTGTTTCGTTTTACGTTTTTTTTTTTGGTTTTTTTTTTGCAATTTGTATAGTGATTGTGATTTCGTATGGTAATATGGAGAAGTGTGATCCCTTTGCAGACTAGATTTAAGTGAATCTGTACACGAGGGAGATTTACAATGTGCAACTTTCCTCACGGGCCCGTAGCACCGGTTTAGCTATACTCAAAGTTCCTCTTTGTTTACATATTGCTTCCTTTGTGTCATTTTATGTCGCATTCAGTACTATTTTTTTTGTAAATTGTGTTACATTGTGATAATGTTTGTCGAAAAAAGTATGTTCCTTTGGTATGACGACAGTATTTTTATATATATCCTGTCCCCGAATACTGTTTGTGGATACATGCTTTCTTTAGGGATTCTTATTTCTCTCTATTTTTGCTATCGTGAAAGAATAATGCATTTGTATTTTGTAATGTACAGTAATTGCACCTGTTTAATTATTTAATTACATTTTACACCCAAAATAAAATGTAAAAATAAATATCAAGATAATAACAAAGATAACATTGAGTTTTGAATAACTGCCTTAATTGTAACGAAATATCTTTTGCATTATTGATAAGTTTGTGTTGCGTTGCTTTTAGAATAACTACGTTGAATTAAAATAATTTTAAATGAAGAGAAGGCTGTAAAATTGCTTTCACTCCGAATTTTTCCCCCCCTATGGGGGATTTTTTTTAAGTTTTATCAAATATGTAGCCCCCCTTAATGCTTAACCCGGGCCCAAATTTTTTAAATTACTTGACCTTTACCAAAAAACCCAAGCGGGAAAGGGTTTAAATACCACTGTTACCCGGGCTCGGAGGGATTTATTCCCTAAATATGGGCGCTCCCCCCGCCGCAACAATCGCCCGCAACTAAAATTTTTGCTCATCATTTTTAAGTACCATTTAAAAGCTCGATTATAATTCGCTGTTTTTACAGTAAAAAAAAATGTTAAACAATTTCATTGGCGTTCCGTTTTTTTGACAATCATTGATAACCCCACATCAGTGTTTTTGGGGAAAAGGCAGTGCTACTGCCGTGCGAAACCGGTGCGGGGATTTAAAAACATCGGGGAAAAAACGACTAAATTTGATAAAAAAATTTTCCCCGATTTAAAGGCCCGGGGCGGGCATCCCCGGGGACCTTCCTTGCTCGTTTACACCATTGGGCATCGTTTCCCGCCATTGGTTCATGTAAATGCCCGGGCGGGCTCGTTGCTCGCCCGGCATCGGGCGGTTTGGGGTTTGTTTTTATTGCGCCTTTTTGGGGGTAATTGCAAATGCATTTGTGAATTTCTTTGAAAAAAATAACTTTCCGCGAAAAACCCGCTAAATTTTTCCAAGACAATCCATGGAGGAACGATGTGGCCCCGTTAAAGGTCTTGGGGTACAGCCAGGGGCTTCCTTCTTTGACAACTGACTGATTTGTAAAAGAATATCATAAAATTTCAAGACTATACCTACCAAAATCCGCTCGTCGATCATCCGAGCCAATTTTGATCGAACAGGCGCCGTCCGGATATCGGACGGCAACCGCCCGAACCTTTGAATGTTTTCTGTAAAATCAATTCGGCAAAAAAATCGCTCGGCGACCATTTCATTCATGGCCACCCAAGGTATCAAATTTAAAATTACCCGGCGTTCGAGTCGCCGATGCTGTAAAAAATCGTTAAATCGGGTGGCGCCTTTTTTATTTGTGAACTTGGCTAACCAATTATTTGATTAAATGAATTAGCATTAACGAAACGATTCAATCCACAAGACTATACTTTTTGCAGACAACCTCTGAATAATGGTAAAAATCACATAAAAGAAGTTGGAGAATTTATCCATCTCTCAAAACTACTTAATGTTCACCCATCCCTTTTAAAATTGATGCAATTAAATAACTTACAGGTGCCATCAAAAAACTCTTGATTATCGTACAAAAGGATAATTGTATCAACCATTATATAAGTAACCAAAGTTGATCCCACATTTAAATACATTTTTATATACTTTGTATAAATATGATACGTTTATCTAATATGCAGAAATCAAAATTACAATAAAATAAAATGTTGTTGACGTTTCATACATTTATGCTTACTCCATGATATTATCTTTCAAATTAATAATACAAGATTTATGGAACAATAGCTTCTGGGTGTTACTATTTTGCGGGATTAGCGAGACCAAGAGGCAACTATATGCTCGCCCTTCGGGGACCATACAAATTAGAAACATACAATTTCTTTTACAAGTTGTCATTAAAAGAAATAATTCTGCCCAAAAATATAGATATTATTAACAACAACTTGATGATACATGATAGGGACAGATCCCCCCGCTGGGGTGCTAAAGTTTGGTTTAAAAAAACAACAACCTACCATCGCCACTTCTGGTACGAAATAACGAAACATGAGTGCTAAATTGTGGTTTTTTATGCATATTAGAAACACATTTAAAAGGTTTGCAATAAGAGACAGTTTTCAAATGTTAAATAAATGCTCCTTCATTGGCTATTGTTTACTCAACAATGAATGTCAAGTTTTTTTTTCTCTGCAGGAGACAACTGAATCAATAATAATAAGTCATCATTTTAAAGTCAAATTGCAAAAACACGCGTTATCGAATGGTTTTATTTCATGTCAACTGCTCTTTGTTATTTATAGAAATAATTGATATTCAGTAGCCATTTCACTTTAAAATTAACATGTTGTCACTCTCAGCATATTAAAACTTTCTATTGAGTAAAGGCATATCCTAGACTTGTCTAGTTTTGATAAATATGTAGTTTTCAATCCATTGGGTTAAGTTATGTTACGAAATCATTTTTACAAAGAAATCGTTATATTATATATTATATTGATTATGTGTATTGTACTAAGTTATTGTTGACTTGCTATGGTGACTGATTTCTGTCATTTCGTGTCTTTGTGTTGGCGCCCTCAAAATTCGAAGGCGAAGATATGATAATATGCTTACTTATCGCGTCTTCGCCTTCGACATTTGAGGCCGCCGACATAAATACACGATATCTTCTAGGCGAAATAATATTTCAATAGGCGAAGACAACTTTGCTTTTTTCTGTAATATTATCGTGCCGTCACATCAAAACGTGAAGGCAAACATACGATAATCAGCCAATTAATCGAGTGTTTGTGTCATCGTTTGTCTTTGCCTTTCGCATTTTGAGGCAAAGGCACGACGACAGGACAAATATATGGCCACCAATACGAAGATTTTTACCCCCTCACACGATAATTCTGCAGAAAATGAGCTCGAGTCTTCTAATATTTATTTTTCTTGTTTTAAAGCATAAAACTAAATATGCATTTTTTTCTATATATTGTGACGTGCGCGCGGGTGAGGCAAAGACTAAGACTAAATATTCATATAAGGGGTTGACTATACTGGATTTATTTAATTATTTCTTGGCGTAGTCAGGCGTTGATATCTCCCTTGTAGCGTATAGACTGAAGACTCTCCCCTGGTAGCGGGTGAGCGCGCGTCACGATCGACCGAGCCGACCAAATAACAAAAGTTATTTGATTCCCAACAAGTAAATTTATTTAAGGAGCGAATAACAATTAATAGAATTCGAGAAATACTTAACAAATATTTAACCATTTAACAGTATCTTAACTTCCTAGACGAAAATGGCAAGTGTGAAAATTCAATAAAAGCTCGTAAATTTAATTTCCTACAAACAGTTATTATGGAAAAGTTTACTAAATCGGCAAAAAAGATGCCAGAAAGTAATTAGTACCTACATTTCTGAAGGAACCTGATGAAATGATCAAAAATAATTATTTAAATTTTGAGAGTAAACAGAGCGTGGCTGCTCTCTGGGGAACCTGAATCGCAACGGAAGTTTAGCGTTGAATTTGACCCGGGGCATGCGCAGAGGGTCCTCTTGACCCGATACTGGGCATGCACCCAGTAAAAAAGGGGTCCGCAGAAATTTGTGATCCGCATAATAAGTTGTGACCCGACACGGAGCATGCGCACTTGCAAAGAAGATGAATACACGAAAACAGCTGAGCGGAGAAAGCTGGAAAATAACTTAGAAATAAACAATAATACAAATTGTCAGCTGTAAGGAACGATGGAGGAATGTGACAAAGGATAAACTTAAACAGTATGTATCAATAATCTCAAGGTCTGACGCTAAAGTACAACCATATATACGATAGAAAATAACAACATAAAAAGTCGCATGTTGCATTGCGGACATGTACATTAATTAAATACATGTGATAATGATGATGAGTTTTGCAATGTTTCAGATTGAATTAACATGATAATATTATGTTAATATAACATATATAAAAGATGTTTATAAGTATTTGAACATGTCAATATTACAAAATAAATATAGTTAATTATTGCAATTTTTATCATTTATGTAAATAAAAGTCACCTTCACTATTTTTACAATTGTCCTTGTAAATTATTATTTTACATATAATCCTGCTATGACGATGACGTCATATTACTCCCCCCTTACAAAATCAGTTCGAACTGGTACATTATTTAACATTGTCTTTATTTTATTTATTTTTAAATACACAAGTTTACTAAAAAAGAAATAAGCTGAAATAATCAAACATTTGAAATTATTAATGTTGAAATGTGTCGTAAAAAAATGAAACACAAAATTAATTTATTTAATCAAGAAAATTCTGATTATTTATTCATTAAAATTGTAAGTTACTTCATCAATACAAAAATTTATTACCTCTATTACACTGAAATATCTACATTTTAAGTAATAGTTATAGTTCAGATTTTAAAAAATTTGGAATTTATTGCAAGCGTAGCGTACCGTTTGGACCCACTGTCCTGGAATAAGTCACGTACACAGTGTCATGTAATGCAAATCCCGCCCTTACTAGTATAGATTGACAGGCCAACACCTGGTCGGAGTGTTGTGAGCTGTCAATCAAAGTTTTTCGTTTTATATGTATTTACGTTCAGTGTCTGGACATCATTAGTCCTCATGGAGCAATCCAGCGATCAGGTTGTCTTTGACATAATGAATATAGATGATGACTTTTACAGAAATTACATTTTTGAACCGTTTCCTGTGGAAAATGCTGATGTGACAGTGTCACAGTTGCTTACTATTTATACGCAGGATTTATATGCTACTGAAAACAAAGAGAATTGTTCAGACACGAGCAGAGGCAATATCCCGGGTAAATATTTTTTTTAAATATTCTCGAATTCTCGCAATATCTAACTTATCATTATTTGAATGAAAATACAAATTGATGGTAAAATTTGCAGTAACAAATTGACCAGGCGCGTAGCTTTTCTACGCTCCACCAGCACCAAAATATGATAAACAAGATCAACAAGGTAAGGCGGCGTTCAATGAACGCAACCCCAAAGTCAATGACGGTAAAATATTAAAATATAACAATTAAAAAACTGTCTTAAATGCTGTTGTAATTATTGAATAAACTTTGAAAATATATAATATTTGAAAGTGATTTCTTTTCTATTTGCAGGCCGATTCGAAAAGCCTTTGTCGTCTGATGACATCAAGAAGAAACAGAGAAATACAGTGCCCTATAATACGACGAAAAACAACAACTGGGCAGTGCACGTCTGGAGGGAGTGGGCTGAAAACCGCAACCTACAACCGGAGACTAAGCAAGAACCTGGTTATCCTATTCCCGTTGAAATAGAACAGTTCCGTTCCTATGCAGAAATGGATTTTTGGTTACAACGATTCATCTGTGAAATTAAAAGGAAAAATGGTGAATTCTATCCTCCAACAACCTTACAAAACATTGCTGCAGGACTAAAACGGTATCTTCGAAATGAACAATCCATGCACGTGAACTTTTTTAAAACAGACGATCCTGTTTTTACTGAATTTCGCAGGACATTGGATTCACGCATGCGCGAGTTGACTAACGAGGGCATAGGGATCGAAGTCAAAAGTGCAGACGCAGTTACGGAAGAAGATGAAGCTTGCCTTTGGGGTTCCGGTGTGTTTTCAGTAGACAATGCAAAAGGATTAAGCAACGCAGTATGTTTTTATAACGGGAAAGTGTTCGGTCTGAGGGGCGCGATGAACAGATTGGGTTACAAGCGGAACAGTTTATTACTGGGTACGATTCTGCAATCAAACGGAGATTCGTTAAATTCCTGCCCAGGATAAGAAAAAACACTCAAGGGGGTTTAAAGCAGTCCAAAAAAGCAGCCAGCTTAATGCAACCAATAATTCATTATGACCAGGAGAAAGAGAACAGTTACAGTATTTATAAAATATATGAAAGTTATTTGAATTTGATTCCAAGGCGTGGAAACTTTTACCGCAAACCATTGGATGGTTTGAATTTCAGTTCTGGAACAATACCACAAAAGGATTTAAAGGGATATTTGAAAAATATGTTTATTCAAGCAGGCATTCCTTTGGATAATAGAAATATAAGTAATCATTCCGGTCGAGTGACTTTATGCACAAAGCTTTTTAATGAAAGATACTCGGACAAAACTGTAAAAAACCGTTCCAAACATAGCTCCGACGCCGTACAAAGATACCAGCGTGAACAAATTTCATTGCAATCGAAAGTTTGTGCCGATCTAGAACCAGTTGTAGCAGGACCTGTTAAAAGTGACAATGAAACTGAAGTAAAATCTGTTAAAATCTCCCGTGAAAAGTGCGAGGATGAAATGAATTTGCTAAATAAACAATCAGAATTACCAACAGACGACAACGTATTAACAATTCGTGTTCCGACAACTGTTAAAAAAGTTGAGATTTTAACTAAATGTGGCAAAAAGTTTGTCATGGAATTATAAAAAAATGGATAGTTTGTATGATTTTAAAGATATTTGTTAGTTACGAACTTTGATATTTCTGTAATTGAATCACTCCATGTGTTTTATTTTCAATGATCAGCCACAATTCCAATGTCCGAATTGTTACTATGGCGAATTGTTACTATGACGGTATAGGTGTTTAAGTTCAGTTTCAGTAATTTTTATGCATTTGATAAATGCTTGGATTTATAAATAATTATTACAGTATGAAATCGCATTCTTATTTGTTTTCTTTATTCGCATGACACATTCATTGCCCAATTTAAAACTCCGCCCACATCCAGAACTTCGTATTTGCAAAATACCACGTCAATACCTGTAAAAATAAGTCAACTTATTTTCCACATACACCAGTCCCGGTATGGTGTATGCAATATATTTCAAACTAGAACTATCGCTGAATGCGATTCATACCCCCACCAATGTCCTTGACAGAAGACAACTTGGAAAGGTGGTTAAGGGAATAACTTAAGTGACACAAATAAATAAAAAGAAATTATCTCTGGTGAAAAAAAGACTAATTGTACAGGTAATAGTAAAATTATCTATTATCAAATCATGTTCGAAACAGTTACAAATAACCTTTCATTTTCCCAATATACTAAACTTTTTATAAGTCAATTTTTGACCTTCAAGTGTGGCCTTGACCTTCAGCTGGCACAAGGGTAAGATGGGTTCTGCACATCGCCCAATTGGAGTGAACATTTGAGTAAAGTTTGAAGAAAATCCTTCCATTAGTATAGAATTTATAGAGCGGACACAACATATTGTCTAGTATTGATTGTATGTAAATTTAAAGACTTAAAAAGGGGCATAACTTTGTCAAAATCCAATACAGAGTTGTGAAACTTGACCTGCATATTGTAATTGTGACACCTAATATATCTTTTAAGTTTCAAGCAAATACCTATGCTAGTTTCCGAAATATTCAAGAACATGTTTTAATCTAAGAACATTTTCTAAGTCAATTTTTGACCTTCAAGTCTGACCTTGACCTTTAGTCTGCACAAAGGTGACATAGATTCTGCACATAACCTTGTTTAGGTGAACATTTGAGAAAAGTTTGAAGAAAATTCTTCCATTAGTATAGGGTTTATAGAGCGGACACAACATATTGTCTCATATGTGATTGTATGTAAATTTGAAGATTAAAAAGGGGCATAACTTTGTTAAAATGCAATAAAGAGTTATGAAACTTGACCAGCATATCTTAATTGTGACACTTCATTTATATTTTAAGTTTCAAGCAAATACCTTTCCTAGATTCAGAAATATTCAGATATATCTTAAAATTAAAGAACATTTTCTAAGTCAATTTTTGACCTTCAAGTGTGACCTTGACCTGAAGCCGGCAAAAGAGTGACATGGGTTCTGCACATAACCTTGTTGAGGTGAACATTTGAGCCAAGTTTGAAGAAAATCTTTCCATAAGTGTAGGACTTACAGAGCGGACACGACATACTGTGTAATATTTGATTGTTTGATATTTGACCTTCAATTGTGACCTTGACCTTGAGCTGACACATGAGCAACATGGGTTCTGCACATCCCATTGTTGCAATGAACATTTGAGCCAAGTTTGAAGAAAATCTTTCAATTAGTGTAGGACTTACAGAGCGGACATGACATATTGTGTAATATTTGATTGTTTGATATTTGACCTTCAATTGTGGCCTTGACCTTAAAATGACACATGGGCAACATGAGTTCTGCACATCCCCTTGTTGAGGTGAATATTTTAGACAAGTTTGAAGAAAATCTTTCAATTATTGTAGGACCTACAGAGCGGACACGACATACTGTCTAATATATGATTGTGTTTGATATTTGACCTTCAATTGTGACCTTGACCTTGAGCTGACACATGGGCAACATGGGTTCTGCACATCCCCTTGCTGAGGTGAACATTTGAGCCAAGTTTGAAGAAAATCCTTCAAGTGGTATAGGAGTTATAGAGCGGACACGAAAATGGAGACGGACTGACCGACCGACCGACCGACCGACCGACGCGACAAAGCGAATCCATTATAGCCCCCCACATTTTGTGGTGGGGGTATAATAAATTTGAGCTTTTGATTGGATAAGAAAGTGGGACAAACGGTAATTAGAGATAACGCAACTATTATCTTTCATATAGATTTTGTAATCAATAATTTTAACAACCACATTCATAAAGTTACAAAAAAATCAAATATACATTAATTTAGAATAAAAGATTAATCGACTTACTGATATTTCCAGAATTTATAATAAATTGACTTAAATATGTATATACATGTAGCAAACAATTTTCTTTTTATATTAAATGTCCATAAATTTTTCTTATCCAAGTGCACATTATGTTCATAAATTCATATTTACCTTTCCTTTTGTTGTAGAATGTTGTGTTCCAAATGAATATGAAGTTTTTACACCAGATGAATTATATTTCCAGGTATTCACTAGTTATAATTAGAATATAAATTTTTCTCACACTGAAATTTTTAAATGTAAATTTTATACTAGTTTTCACAGTCCAAAAGTTCTGTTTCTAAGATGATTTATTATTATTTATTTATAAACAGTCACAACGCGATAATTATTTCTTTTTTTATTGTAGCTTCGTCACAAATATGGATGGCGTCCGCAGTGTTTACAGTTGAACGATGTTGTTTGAGTCTCTCTTGCCTTTGCTTCATTTTCGGACGGATTTGGAACTATTGACGCTTCAAAGCAATATACCTGTCCATTATTAAAGACAACTGTCTTCCTTTTATGACAGTCGTACCTTTGCATGCATAACTGATATCGGCTGCATCCACTCTAAGCTGCAGAGCTCGGATGCGCTGAAGACTCGAATTTGCAGCGTTAAGATAGGCCGATGGAGCACCTCTGAGATATGTACGAGGTTCGTGCATTGTATTTTCATTATTAGATACTGCGTGAGTTTTGTCCACCTCCAGCGGAATATTCTTCACTTTTATCAGACGATAATCTCTAGGTTCCATTTGTTGGAATTTCGGTTAAACTGGTAATGTTGGCATAGCTGTTGTAGTAGACTGTATAGCATGTGTAGCAGTTGTATTTTGTGAACTAGGTGTGGATGAACAATCTAAAACTTACTTTGGGGTAGACAATGCTGGTGATGATTCTACTGGGGCTGGCTCAGGGGTAGAAATAACTGGTGCAGATACACTTGAACTCGACTCAACAGATACTAATTGTGAAAATACGGATGGCCATGCTGTTGTAAATAGATTGTCGTCTAAGAGATAATCAAGGCTGGGCTTCAGATCCCCTTTCAAAATTCCCTTTCATTTCGTTCCGCCCATTGTTTTCTCGTTTAGGGCAAAAGCTTTCTAATACTTGGGGACAATACGCCGCTTTTCATGGAATGTTACTACTGTGTCACATTGAAGGTTCCATGATAACCACCGTATGAACATATCTGCGGATGTTTCTAAATTCAAAATTTCACCATTTTCGTGTTAAATGTTGAATTCTGCCTAAGCCGGTGCTAGGGGACGTGAACGATAACTTGCACTTTCCACTACCGTCCATGAACAGGCTCAATCAAACCGAGCCTGCAACATTTTCAATTTTGTTGTGTTGGATTTTCTTTAGGGATTCTGTTTTTCTCTATTTTGGTGTAGTGAGCAATGGATCCGCTGTTAACCAATAATAAATAAAAATCTGGAAACAAAGTGATCCCTCGGAAGCATTAATCACAACAAAATTACATAAGAATTGCAGACTAGGTATTGGCATGGTATTGTTTCAATCTGGAATGACGTTAACGGTTATTCAGTAGTGGTAGATTGTATGGATGAAGTGACCGGTTGTTCCTTAGCTTCCTCCTTAGCTCCTCTGGTTTCTGAACACATCTGCGGATGTTTCTAAATTCAAAATTTTACTATTTCACGTTTAAATGTTGAATTCTGCTTAAGCCGGTGCTAGGGGGCGTGGACGGTAACTTGCACTTTCCAGTACCGTCCATGAACAGGCTCAATCAAACCGAGCCTGCAACATTTTCAATTTTGCCGTGTTGGGCTTTCTTTAGGGATTCTGTATTTATCTATTTTTCTGAGGATTTCCAAATGACATTAAACTGTCGGAGGAAGTATAATAACTTGGCAAATTTACATCGATTTGATGGCTGTTCACAACATTTGGTTCTTCTTCAATATTTATGCCATAGTCTGGCGGAGTATTAATATTTTCAAATTCGACTGAGTCGGTATTCATAACCTTGCGTCTCTTACAACAGGTCTCTTCATGTCTTCTTTGATTCCCCGAACGGCGCACCGGATATTCTTCTCCACAACCATATTTACAAGCTACTTTTCTTTCGTGTCGGTCTTGGATATGCCTATACCATTGAACGTCTGTGTCATAGCCTACACAGCACTCTCTACACACAAACTTACTTGTAAGATAGGGTAGTTTAGGTATTTTCGGTAACTTCGGCATACTGCAAAATACAAATTTTTGAAAATATTGTAACAATTTAGAAGCTATTTGCTTTTTAGGTTCTATTAACGACTGGTTAAAGGCGATTATGATGAACAATTTGAATCTTGTTTTTAGACTTAATCTTATAATTGAGGTCAGACAGCACATCAATGAAAGGGCCCCACCCACCTATTCTCTATTTTGGGGGTTCTACCTTTAGTCTTCACTTCTTTAGTCAACCATACTTGATCACCAATCTGGTAAGAAATTGAATTTGCACGGTGGTCATATTGCTTTTTCTGACGGAAGCAAGTGACATATTATGACGCGCGATTTCATGTATTTTATTCATGATAACACGCTTTTGTTGTATGAAATTACTTGGCGACGCTGCCTCGGTTTCGGGTTTATCTGCACCGAACAATAGATCTGCGGGTAAAATTGGTTCTTGACCTAACATGATTTTATTTGGGGTGTATCCTGTGGATTCTTGTACAGAGGATCTGTAAGCTAAAAGTAAAAATGGCAAATGACTATCCCAATCTCTTTGGTTACAATCAACGACTTTTGCTAACATGTCTGTCAGAGTTTTAAAAATTCTTTCACAAAGTCCATTAGTTTGGGGATGATATGGGGAACACCTTGTTTTATCAATATCTAAAATAGTACATAACTCTTGGAATACATTTGACTCAAATTGTCTCCCTTGATCAGTTATAATCTGTCTTGGGATCCCAAATCTGCTAACAAATTCGGTAATAAAAATATCAGCACACGTTTTAGCTTCTTGGTTCGGCAATGGATATAACTCACATTTAGTGAAATGGTCAATAACACCTAATATAAATTTGTTGCCCAAAATCGACAAGGGTAAAGGTCCAAAAAGGTCAAGGTACTCGTTCCATAGGACACCCAACTTGGTACTGCTTCATTTTGGCTTTGGCTCTTGTAAAAGGCAACTTCCTTGCTTGGCATATTTTACAACTATTATACCAGTATTCTATGTCTTCTTGGCTGTTCACCCAATAAAATAACTTATGCAGTTTATATTTAGTTTTAGTTATACCTAAAAGACCTGCCCTTCCATTGTCGTGTATTAAAGTCATAACAGTATTTCTCATATTTTCGGGAACTATCAACTGCCAATGATAAGAGTCATCAATATTGTACCATTTTCTATACAATATGTTATTATGTAATCTAATTCTATCCCACTGGGACCAGTATCTTTTAAGAACAGAATTTTTATTGGAAATTTCAGTCCAAGGAGGTCTTTTATTTTCTCTCTTCCAAGATAAAAGGAATTTAAGATTTTCATCTTTTAACAACTCTTTATGTATTTCTTCAGTTTCAATTGATTTTATCCATTGATCCCTGCTTTCACTGTCAACAGAAGGTCCAGCCGATTGCTGTTCTCTCTTAGTGTTCTCCTGGGCCCTTGGATTACACTCTTCTCTATTCATAGAAGCAATTGTTTCCAAAGCTTCCTTATTCTCAGGGATTTCGGGATGTACCATTCTACAGGACTCTTTTATCTCTTCTTCATTTGAAGACATCTCTCTCTTTTCACAATAGTTACAATTTTCACATGGCCTCCTTGATAAACCATCACAATTTCCATGTTTTGTGCCACTACGATGAGTTATTTCAAAATCGTAAGAGCCTAGGGTCTCTAACCATCTTGCTAATTGCCCACATGTCAATTTCATGTTCATTAGCCAAGATACTGCGGCATGGTCTGTCCTAATTTTAAAATGCACTCCATAAGCATAGTGATGGAATGCCCTAATTCCTTCTATAACTGCAAGCAGTTCTTTCCTTGTAACTCAGTATTTAATCTCTTGTTTATTTAAGGTTCTGCTATAATAACCTATAACTCTTTCTGTATTGTTTTGTACTTGTAAGCACACGGCTCCAAGCGCAAAAGAGCTGGCATCGCAATCTATAATATAAAGATCTGTCGCATTTGGATACCCTAATATAGGTGCTGTAGTTTAGGCTTGTTTAAGTTGCATAAAATATCTTATCATTCGTCTGTCCAGATAAAAACAGCATCTTTCTCAGTTAACTTATGAAGTTGTTTATAATCTGTGCAAATTATTTTATAAAGAACATGTAATAGCTAGCAGTACCCAGAAAACTACGAAGCTCTTTAACAGTAGTAGGAATTGGCCATTTAGTTATTGTTTCAATTCTGCTTGTTTCTGTTTGCAAATGACCTAAGAAATTAACCTTTCTCTTGAAAAGAAAACATTTTTGTGGTGAAACCTTCAATTTTGCATTACTAAGTTTTTTATAAAATTAAGTCTAATCTATACAGGTGTTCTTCAAAAGTCTGGGCCTACACAATCAGGTCATCTAAATAGATCAGGCATATGTTATATTGTAAACCAGCCATAACCAATTCCATTAAACGTTGATAAGTACTGGCACTATTGCACATGCCCATAGGCATAACTTTAAATGCATACTGGCCTTTATGGCAAACAAAGGATGTTTTGTCCTTATCATCAGGGTGCATCTGTACTTGGTAATAACCTGAAGTACAGTCTAATGTTGAAAACCATGTGGCGCCCTGAAGTGAATCTAGACAGTCTCTGGCACGGGGTAGGGGGTATGAATCTTTCAAGGTCACAGCATTGATTTTTCTGTAATCTACACAAAGCCTTATTTCACCTGAACGCTTTCTTACTGGGACAATAGGACTACTCCAAGGTCCAGCACTCGGTTCTATTAAATCGGCATCTATCATTCTCTGTATTTCGGTTTCTACTCCCTCTCTCATACTTATAGGTAATCGTCTAGGCTGTTGCTTAATAGGGGGTGCCAGTCCTGTATTTACTTTATGTTGTGTTATATCTGTCTGACCTAGGTCAGTTTTTGACTTGGAAAATACATTTTGATGTTTAATAAGTAACTTTTTGACCTCTAACAGTTGGGACTGTGTTAAGTTTGATTTACACCCTTCATATATTTCATTCAAATGCTCTGGAATAGGTTCTTTACAATCAGAATTTTCTGAAATTATATTTACTCTTTCAAGGTCAAAATTATCAAGGTCACCTATCTCTAGTATATCAACTGGTACTACTTGACCGGCATTGGTATTCTTATACAACTTTAACGGCTTAGTGGTTATATTCATTATACGTAGTGGAATGAAATCACTGTTCAAGGACACTAAGGACTTTCCTAATAATACACCATTGTTTTGCCAGTAATCATTAACAGACTCTATCATTCCTATTGGAAAATTAATATGTTGGTCATCTATGGTACCTTTCACTATGGCCTCACTGGCTGGAAGGACTGTTGCATTTTCAGCTAATCTTATTTTGTATACAGTAGGTGCTTTCTCTTCTAAAACACAGGGTACAACTTCTCCACCAAGTATGATGGAGGAGGCACTGATGTCAATCTGTCCCTTATTTTGATACAGGAAATCATATCACCATAGGTACTTCAACATCTTCTAAAACAAATTTCTGTTTAAACATTTTCTGACTTATAGATACGGATAGATAAACTGTTCATTCAGTTTGTATGTTTTTCCATCTGCACTTTTTAAAGTAAAACTATTGTCTATTTTATCAGGCATTTTATACTTTAATGCCAATTCTTCATATTTCTTGGGATGCAAAATACAACATGTTGCACCTGTATCCACTAGGGCCTGTACTTTCATATCTTGTATATTTATTATGCCCCAACTTCGAAGAAGAGGGGGTGTATTGCTTTGCACTTGTCGGTCCGTCGGTCCGTAGACCAAATGGTTTCCGAGTGATAACTAAAGAACCCTTAGGCCTAGGAACTTCAAACTTGGT